TTGGTAATTTTTGGTGTGTAAACCCCCCTAAATTTCTCTAACCCCCCCCCGGCCCGATTTATCCTGCGTACGCGCCTGGGTTTATATCATTTTCTTGATTTTACAGTTCTTTTGATTGCTGTATTAGGGCATTTTACAACAATCTTATCAGATTTCAGACGAGGATGATTGAAAAGTAACCCCTGAACTTTCAGACGTCAACCGAAAGCCCCTCGCCTCCCTCATGAGACAGAATAGTATCTAAAACATCACAATTCTCTTCTTCTACTTTACTTACTAACTTACTTTTTGAGCCAATATTGATCCACTGCAGGATGAAGGCCTCAGCATGCTGTCTCCAAATGACTCTGTTTAGTGCTTGTTGGTGCCAATTAACCTTTCTTCAAATGCTTGCAATCTAAAATCGTTTTAATCAGGGCTCAAATTAAATTTTTGAACACGGGGGCTCTTCCAAAAAAATAGCCCCCGTGAACCTTCTCACGGGGGCTCTTATTTTAATACAAATTTTCATTGGATTGGTACCCATGAAACTCCTAAATTCCTTGGTATTTTATCATCATCATTTATTTAAGTGGGCATTCTCCCTCTTAGAAATTTACTTGTTACATAGCTGTATACTTTTATCCCCGTGATCAGTGGCGGATCCAGGGGGGGGGGGGGGGGGGGGGGGGGGTGAAAAGAATTTCGATGCGGTGTTCGAGTAGAATTCTGTGAGATTCTGTGAGATGATGATATATACTTTCTCGTAGCTTGATGTGACGAAGTGTCTCTATCCAGATATCTGTTGATAGTATTAATAATAATAATTAACAACATTTGTATAGCGCTTATCACAAAATATGTCTCTAAGCGCTTAAGAAAAATATAAAGAGAAGGAATTACAGCCAAATATTAAGTTATACATAATAGATAGTGGACAATCAAGGGGGCTGCATATGCAAATGAAAAAGGCTATTTAACAAAAAAAGTAGGTTTTTAACATGGATTTGAATTTGTCTGTTGAATCTGCTTGTTTTATACATTGAGGTAAATTGTTCCAGAGTTGAGGGGATGCTGCATAAAAAGTTCGGGAACCATAAGACTGGGTATTGGTGGCAGGAACTATTAAGAGTGATTTCTTGTTTGAGCGCAGGTTGCGGGAGGGTAAGTATTCTGATATCAGCCTTTGAAGGTAGACTGGAGCTGTTTTTGTCAAACATTGGAAATTCAGCAAGAGGATCTTAAAATCAATTCGTTCCCGGACTCTTAGCATGTGAAGCTCCCTATTACAGAATATAGAAGCCTGATATGACCTTCTGCTCGTAACCGACAAGTCACCGCATTAAAATTAAATTGCAAATAGTGTTCAACAACACGATGGTGGATGAAACTTTCTAATATTCGAAGATATATGACCTTCAGACCATATTGTTTCATTATTTTTTATTCAATCAATCAACGTCAAAGAATTGATTTATCATTGCACTTCATTTTATTATTTCACCTTTTGATGTACTTTCATTCTTATGCATCACGAAAGAACACTGCATTGGATTCTTCAATGTTTGTTTTGATTAATTTCCTCCCCTTTCCTTCTCCCTGTTTAGATAACATTTTCAATTTTTCTTAATCAAGGCAAAATATTATTTTCATATTTTCTTTATTCAAGACAGGGAGAGAGAGAGAGGGAGAGAGAGAGAGAGAGAGAGAATATTTTAAGTGAGAATTATCGAGTACAACTATGAATTGCATCCTTTTCAATATTATTCAATTCGCTGAAAATCTTTATTTTATAATTCCACGGGGCGATTTTTAATTTTGCAATCGCCCCCGTGGACAACCTGATGTGGGCGATTATGGAATACACGGGGGCGAATCGCCCCCCGTGTATTTTGAGCGCTGGTTTTAATTCATCATTTCAACAAAAGTATTATGGTTTGACTCAAAAACTTGGATTCACAGTTGTCCAAAGATGATCGCACAGACTTTTCAAATCAAATATATTACTGTTTTTTGTCGAACCAATTTTCAATGTATTGTATTTCAATGTATTTTAAAATCCTTTTGTTAATTCAATTTGGTCCTACCTTTGGCTGCCAGTTTGAATGCATATTTTTTTTTAAATAAAACAAATAAACCGGTTGATCAATCAATCAATCATGAAGTTAATCCATTATGAAATAACAAATATGAGACTCTAATTGGAATGGCGAGACAGCCATGGCGGTAGCAGAAACATAATTAGTGTTACCTGTTAGAAGCGTAGGGTGGTATTCTCGAATGCGGACTATCTTTAGTCCATGGACTAAAGTTAAGCCTAGCCTAAGTAATCCACGGACTAAGTTAGGCCAGGTTTATCTGAGGCCGCTTTCGAGAATACCACCCGTTGGCTTTAACTATTTCAGCTTGAAAAAAAAATTGGTTAAAGTTGAAATTAAACGTATGTGTTGATGTTATTTGCGATGAATTACATTTTCTTGGATTCATCAAGTATCAAAATCAGTGTTGCCAATTTGAGAAATTAAGGGCATATCTTACCCTTACCTGCAAAATATAAACTTGGGGATTCGCGTAGCGATTATATGAATTTATAGATTCGAAAGTTTTTTTAATTATTTATCTGATTTTTGCTTTTAAAATGATTCACTGGCGGGTTTATCAATTTTCTGATTTTACTGAGCCACTAAAACTATTTTTTTTCTTCTAAAAATCAAGATCGTCTTGGACTCAAAACGATTCTCTCTTTAGTGAGATCAAGGTGTTACTTTTTACCTGATGGCCGGGCTTATTCCCAAACCGATTAAATCCTCGTCGCACGTCATCGCCTTCCCGATCACCAGGAGACCCATCAGAACACACTCATCTCGGAGCGGATCCCTGGGGGAGCATAGATAGGCCCGACGTGGGTTCGACGGGTGACCTGAATAGAGTGTGTTCAGATGAGAGTTTAATCTATACCCATACATGTTTAGTACTCAATTGGCACTGTTACAAGATTTTGAACAATACCACGAAACTCTGATTCTTATCTGATTCATAATGCATCGCAGTTATTCACTGAAACTTAATTCACAAAGAAGTTAGAGATCATGAGACAAGCTTTAGATCATGATTCTTTTATCAATGAATAAAAGTGCACATGATATCAAAATCCACTATAATGAACTTATTTTGAATCTCGGTATCCGGGGTCAAAGCGTAGATAGTCATTCTTGTGTCCGCCATTGAGTAGACGATGCCCAGGCCTACAAAATGTATTCGGGGGGGGGGGGGGTGATGCTGCTATGCTAGAGTATTGGATTAACGGGTTTGAAGAAGGAAGGTTATCTCATTTTTCTGTTGAACAAGGATTCGTACCAGAGAGAGAGAGAGAGAGAGTGTTCGAACCCTGGATATTAAAGCCCCCCCCCCCCCCCCCCCCCCCCCGGGAAGAAAAAAAGTATGGTTAAAGATTGGCCCGCTGCCCTGGGTCATGTATGGCGTGATGATATTGGGACAGGGCAGCACAATGTTTGGACACTCCCCAACTTTGGAAGAAAAACACAATAACCTACAATAAATCTGGGGCACATCTGTTTTAATGACTAATTATTGATGTCCCAATTTTTATCCAGATCATTCCCTCTCCTCCTAATTCTCCCCTATGTCTATCTCTTTCTCTTATCTTTTGAATGGGGGCGGTAGGTGTCGGACGTAAAAGAAATTGTAATAAACTCAACATTTTTCGGCTAAAATTAATTGAGGGTTGGGGGGTTGGAGGAGGGATGCCGTCATATCCCCACTATCTCTCAAGCAACCTCTCTCCCATATTCTCTCTCTCTCTCTCTCTCTCTCTCTCTCTCTCTCCTCTCCTCTCTCTTCACTCTCCCCATCTCCCTCTTTTTGGATTTTACTTCCCCCCACCCAAACCTTCACATCTTGCCTCATCAATTATTCTGATCAGTTTGTACAACTTTAAAAAAAAAAATCATAACTGGCTTATTTTGTACCATTTCGTTCAAATGTTCGCATCTAGTATACTTCTCTGATATTTATGCTGTCTTTTGTTCAATAATTTGATACTAAAGGTGGATTTTCCTGTAATTATATACTGCTGTTATAAAGACGGGTCAAGGGTTAGACCAGGGAGGTGGTTAGACAAAGGCTACGCTCAAACTTTCTGTGTCAAACAGGGGCATCACTAGATCATTGAAATGGAGGGGGAGGGATTCTCAACAGAGATGTCTTCTACCAAGTTTGGAAGAGGCGGTTCCTGATTTGTTGCTTTGTCGGGCAAACACATCGCATCATAATACGTTGTGTTTGTTAACCCCTAACCGAGGTAGTAAGATTGTAAGACTGTAAGACTGTGTGTATAATTCATATGACTCTAAGCGTCAACACTCGACACTTCTTCACCTTCACCCCTGGGGGGTGTTTCACAAAGATCCTAAGTAGAACTTAACACTAAGTTGGACTTACAAATTATGGAGAGCCATATGTAGCCTCAAAATGAAATATATTCAAAAGCAGAAATTCAATTATTTAGATTTTTATAAATTCCACATCAAGAATATGAAATCTCCTGATGATAGAAAATATGAATGATTTGAATCAACATTTTATGCCTTTTAAAATAACCTTTACAAAATATTTTCAAAGATGCTTATGGCTTTCCATAATTTGTATGTCCAATGGTATTTTGTTTGGCAACTAATCAACGTTGGTTGCAATCGGGTGCAATTGGGGGTTAGGTTAGATGTAGTGTTAGGATTGGGGTTGAGCTTCGGTTTTAGGTTTTAGGTCAAGGTTTAAGCTTAGGGTGAAATATAATGGTGTATCCAGAGTTACGATTATAGGATATTGACCACAGAGCATCAGTCAATGGAGCATGTGCCGAACGAACCGTTTTATTTTCCCGGTCTCATTACGTAATCACCACCCCTCCCACCCCTCCCACTCCTCTCCGTCTACCCTCATTCCCCTCCCTCTCTTCTTTCAGTTTCACTCCTTTTGAATGACCGCCAGATGAACTCGACCAGCCTTCTAAACACGCTCTGCCGTATATCACCAGGGGCGCGCGTTCGGTTGACGCTCGCCCAAGGATTGTTATTGAAAGATGAAACACTGTGCCAACCGTCAGTGTCATAAAACAAAAAGTCAAGATTCTTTTTGGTGTCCTTACCATATCTGATACTCGTGAGATATTCATATTGAGAAGGCGAAGACCTAGCACGGAATCTCGGGAACCTCGACGTCTCTGAGGTGAGTCGCCGAGTCGAAGATTTTGTGAAATATTTTGACTTTCTTGTATTGTTCATTATTTAAGTCGGTTAAAGTATGATTTTATTTTGCCCGTGCAAGTGGGATAGCGGAGCAAAGGTACCAACAGGAAGAAGGAATTATATTCATTACATCATTGACAAACGTATCCTGTTTTTGATTGGAGTCACCTGTCACATTGATTGCTGCATGTGCTGTTCACCTCGACTTCCCAATGCTATATACACCGTACTGAGCCGGGCCCTTTGTACATATTATGCACCTGTTGCAGCTATTCGTCCGAGGGGTGTAGCGTTGCACCCCTTTCATGTTCCGATTGAGCTTTACTTACCATTGCGAAGGCAGAAAAATAAAGGTCTTGTAACCTTTACGCTATATATTTCATCACATTCATCGCGTGTAGAGAGAAACAAAACACCAAATGGTATTATTTAATACTTGTTGTATTACAAGTCTACACAAATATTTTGATAGGAACTCTCAGCAGTTGGAGCGATACTGCAAATATTTTACAAGGACAATCTAACAGAAATCCTATTCATGGTTATTGGTTTTATGATTTATACTGGCTATCGCACGGTCTATGTTATTCTGATCACCACGGGATATTTTCGTATTGTAATGTTTGCGCTCGCAAGAAAGACAGCAGTAGAAAACTATGAAAATATTCTCCAAAAAAAAAAAAATTATGATACACTGTAATATCAAGGGCACTATGACAAAAAATCTATTGTAAAGGTTATTGGTTTTATGATTATTGCTGGCTTACGTGCACATGTTATCACCTGCACGTAGTTTGAATAGATTATGCACTGTAGAGACTATTTCGATTCACCACGGGATATTGTCGTATTGTAATGTTTGCGCTCGTGAGAAAGACAAACAGTAATTCAGTTTCAGTTACCTCCCAAATAAATGCCTGAGATATTTTGATTTGATCTAAGCTAAGGTAGGTCATATAGACCTACATGATAATAGCAAGTGGGACATACATTACTAGAGAGTATGTTAATACCAGACTAAACAGAATAGATAGATTAGAAACTGCCATAATGATGCGTAACAAAAAAGATGTTGTATTGCCCTTTGCGACCGAGTGGACCGACCCTAACAATTTTTTTTACCGTGTTTTAGAAGAAGAAAAAAGTTTAAAGAATAAACAAATTGTATTAAAGCATTCAAACTGAGAAATATCAGCCCAAAGAGGGAGAGAAAAAAAAGTTAAAAAAAGAAAGATTTCCGACCGACCGACCTATGTTACCTAAAGGGCAATACAACATCTTTTAAAAAAAATTATTTTAGGCCTGATGGGTGAAAGTGACAAAAAAAGAAAGTTTGGGGGGGGGGGCGGGCGAAGAGGAGAGAGGGAGAGAATTACCTTAAAGGTACTGTGTCCCATTTGCATGCCAAAAAAATGAAAGAGTTAGTTCCAACGGCATTTGAAAGACAATTATAATTTAGAACTTCCCTCAAAACGAAATGAAAATGGCTTTTAGTGGGAAAATAACTACCATTAGTTGTCGAATGGACTTAAGTGATTGCAATCACGTAAGTAATAGTTTGATTTTCAGACCCTTTTACCGAATGGTCGTACGTTTTGTGCTGCACAAAGATTCAATCAGTTTATTTTGGCCATTACAAGTAATGGGTTATTGATGTAGACAAATGCTCATGTACCCGTTACAGCTCATTTTATGTATTTTATTACCTATTTAAAAAAATATGTCAGTCAGTCACTTAATAGTGTCTGACAGTGAAGTCAAAAAGGTAAACGTGTATGTTTCCTTGCATAATTTGACACTGCTAACGTTTAAGTTTCACAGATAGAACATACATGACATATTCATAATTCCCATCACTCAGTATACTATTACCATCAAAATCCATTCCGAGATACACATATTTCACCCACGTACTTCTTATGATTCATCAATAGACTGAAGTCCAAGTTTATAGTCTATTTGCATATGAAAAGCAATGTTCAAATGTCGCGTTTAGTGCCATAACCCGCTTTGACAAAAGGAAGCAACTGTCATATGGAATTTGTCCAAATTATTGAAATTACTAGGAATAGGAAACCCGCACATTCTGAATAAGTTTTGGACAATGGGAGCTTAAATTCGTCACCATGGACCGTCTGTACATTTTAGCTTTAAAAGAGGAATCAATCATATGGAACAATTTCTGTGTATTTTATAAAGGAGGAGAATATGAAGTGTGTGCATTGTGTCATTTTTTCCTTTTGTAATTTTTTTTCTGGTCTCTCTTTCAATTCCCATCCAACGGGAGATTAAAAGGAACACATAATGATGGGAAACCAGGAAAAGTAACATGAACATGATGGCACAGTCTAAAATATACAAATATGTATTATATATATCTATAAACTTCAAATATAAAGGTGAGTTCTGTCCATGCGATTGCATTGTGAAAGAAAAGGTGTGGAATGGATTAGAAAAAGTTGATCATGTAGCATGTAAGTATTGGTGTGTACTGCAAAGTTCCGGAGTCATCAAAATCATAATACATTTGGCACAGTCTTCGTAAAGAAACAAGCACTGTACACAGAAAGATGTATATGGGACTACAAGAATGGTGTCGGGGCTAGTACTAACCTTGATTTCTTAATCTTTCTATGCTCATTACTCAGTCAGTATACATTTTCTACCAAAATTGTTTGGCAAATGACATTTATTTGTAATCTTGAACATTCAGTGTATGAGTCGTTTGATTCTGTGAGAATTCATTTTTTTTTTAACCAGAACTCACCTTTATCTGTAATAGGCTTATACGTCACGTATTGATACACACAAACATGAAATGCCATTAAATGACACAGGGGCGTACGCAGGGGGTGTTTTGGGGTTAACCCCCCCCCCCTTGGTATTTTTATGTGTGTAAACCCCCCTAAAAAAACCTAAAACCCCCCTTTGTTTTTGTTTTTTTGTTTTTTGTTTGTTTTTAATTATATATATATAAAAAAAATTAAAAAAATTATCCCCACGGCTAACCTAAAAAAGGTGACCTTACCCCCCCCCCCCCCAATGAAGAAAAATGTCAAATTTTTAAATTTCGAGACCCCCCTCCCCCCCCCCCCCCCCCCCCAAAAAAAAAAGTGTCCGCTTACCCCCTTTTACCACTCTTCCCCAAAGAGTGAGGTGCAGGAATTAGTTCGTTAAAAACTCTCGACCGTTGTAGGGCAGCCGTGTAGAAGCCAGGGTAAAACATAGGCATCAGGCATGCCAGGAGTATTTCCAAGAAATGAACCGATTTGTAATTTCAATACCCTATTGTATGTCCCAAGAAATCTTGAGTTGTACCTCATTGTTATGTTAGCACATTTCAATAGGTGACGCACGAAGTTTGTAAAAATTCCTCAGGTTGATTTGATGCAATTGGTTGCTATTGTGTTGTTATTAAAAGTTAATACAAAGTTTTGGGAAATTATGAAAATTGGGTGGACAGTGATTCTTTACAATTTTGATATATTTGGATGCCCCTGTGGATGTATTCTAAGCACTAGAAAATTATGCCTCTAAAACACTTCTGCTTTCGAGAAAAATGAATATAAAAATTTACCGGTGCTCCCCGTAAATTTTGATAAATTTCAATAGTGCCTACGGCTGTACAATGTTACATGTAGCTGCAACCATGAAAATCACAGAATATGTAGTTGTGATATATAATTTCCCAACGGGAATAGCTAATCGGTCAATTTTAGTCAAGAAACATAGTTTTATAGCTTAATTAATATCTTGACCTTGAGAGGGAGCTATACAACACAAATAGTTTATAGTTTACAATTTATAACTTTAGACGCGATAACGATCACTGAATATTGTAGGATCGCATAATTATGCTTCCAATATGTTCATTTGAACCAAATTCATGACCCCATACCAAAACTTTGTATTACCTTTAACATTCAAATATATTTTTAGAAATTTTCTTTCACCAAACACATGAAACAACTTTGTAAAAATTCATGATCACCTCTTATTTTTAATTATTAAAGGCATTATCTAAAAATGTTTCCAGTTTTCCATGTTGAGATGCTTGGCCTACGTGTCATCAGTGTCTGTAATATGATCTAATTCGCTTCAAAATGATCATAAAGTGCCTCAAAAAAGTAAAAATCCTTGAGGGACCGGTTTACCATACTAATTTTCCCCAATGGACTGTAGTGTTAGAAACACCGTTAGGAAACGAAGTCTGAAATTTCTCATTCCAATCATAGATATCATGATAATCAGACAGGCGATTGGCTTGTAAAATTCATGGGATTCATGTATGACCTAAAGGTTTACAATTATGATCGCAGCATGAGCTAAATCCAGGATTTTACTAAAAACCTGAGGCAAAGTTACCGGATCCCTTTAATGCACCAATCTTCCACCTCCCACGTCTAATCATGAAAACATTAACATAATGTTCAAAACATTAACATTAACGCTAACATAATGTTCAAAACACGACGATAAATAACCTCAAATTGCTCTCAAGTGTATTTGTTTCCATTAAACATCTCCACGAATGCATTTCATTTTGTTTGTATTGAAAATGAAAAAAAGAAGAAAAAGAATTGGTTGTTGTTGTTGTTTGGTATGATCGGCGTTTCATTCTTTTTTTTAGAATATTTACGCCTTTCACTTTTTTTTCTTCTTTTTTTTTGGTACTATTTGTAAATTCATACTCTTCTCTTTTTTTTTAAATAATATATAATCTCAGATCTACTAGTCCATGAAAACCCCTCACCGCCAGTGGCACCTTCCTGCCAGACCGGCGCGGTACATTGCGCAATCTTCTCGGCCATCATTGGGTAGATCTCCAGAGTCTCTTGTTTGGGGTTTACCGTCCTCAATCCGTCAATTGGACTGATGTTCATAACACTTATGATATTTTTTCACTCATAAAACACAGGAAATACTAACGTGAACATCACTATGGCTTCAGCATCTGCAGCGGTGGAGCTGGAGCAGAAGGAGCCCTTGAACAAGGGAGGGCGCCCTAACCTCTACGAGGGAAAAGGTCCAGCCGAGACTTCAAATGAAAACGAAATCTCAATGAATGAATTTCGAGGAAAGATGGCAACTGAGGGAAGCGACGGTAAGACCCAGACTGATGCAGAAGCAGGTGGTTCAGCGCCCAAATCAGGGTAATTTTCGCCTTTACGATTGCTTCTTTCTTTCTTCCTTTCCTTCTTTCTTTATTTGATATTCCATTCTTTGACCAGAGTTCCCACCGGTCACCGTTCGTTTGACCGTGTTGAGTAGCCGTCCTCTGGCAAACTGACCATATCTTATTTAATAACTAAAGGCCATGGGTGGTATTCTCTTAAGTTAAGCCGGGACTAAGTCCAGACTAAACAAGAATTTTAGTTCGCACTTCTATGGAATGCTAGGTTTCATCTTCCTCCTTCAATATTCATGACAAAGATAATCTACCAAGGACTTTGTTGAAATTTAGTGTATACTCATATTATCTTTTTCTTTCTATTTCAGTGCAAAATTAATTTTTTGACACTTTTCATTGAAGGATTAAAATAATCTGTTCAGGGTAAATTAGTTCACAACAAGCACTCCATAAAAGTGTGAACTAACTAAGCACGCGCTACCGGAATACCACCCCATATTGTAGACTTTTTATGTTAAAAATTTGATCCACAATTATCGTAAATTTAGAACCTAGAAACATGAAGTCTAGGATGCGAGAGCCAATGGCCACTTCCATGATACTACGTCACGTGACCTATTGGGCCGTACCATAATTTTGTGGTGGTGGTTATTTTACCTGCTTGCTAAGAAAGCATAAATGCTTGTATGTAAGCAACCAGACGGCCGACGGCTTTAGGTCCTCTCCGAGTGACCTGGTAATGAGGATTAATGCACTAGCGCATCACCTTGGTTTCGAACCCGGTCACCGGAATACGAGACCACTGCTCTACCGACTGAGCTATCGCGCCTCCTCTATTGTCAAAAGGGGTTCCGCGTGGATTTCTTTGTTTATTACAGTGGGTATGGGCTATATATTGATTCAAATGTTCCTTTTTTCAATTTATATGCGTATTGTATTGTATTTGTATTGTATTTATTTTCCGTCATTTAAAAATACATCAACATATATATATATATATATATATATATATATATATATATATATTTACAATCATAAAGTACACTTATAAAAAAAAAAAAGACGGAGGGATGGCCCTACTCAGCGTTGTTAGCATAACAATGCTGGTTTACAGAGGGGTCCCTATAGACATAGAAAACATGAAAATAGATATTACAAAGTAAGGAAAACTTACAGCAAAATAAGAACTTACAATAATGATAAGAGCAAATTCGAGTAAACAAGAAACAGGAGAGAAATATTTTCTGTTTTATATACAAGAGAGAAAGCTAGACAAGTAAATTATTTATTTAAACAAAATAAAAAAATAAATAATGCAATTAACGGGTAAATTGTTGATATCAGTAACTAGTTACAAATAAACATCTGCCTGCCAAGGTCAATTAACGCGTAAAGTTTTTGGTTGAATGCACAGATACACAGGGTTTGGGTCAATAGGCCATTTTCGTAATGTAACCATATTTATTGCATAAGTCTTTGTGAAGTGCCTGAATACAAATTATTTCATTCACCTGATAAGAATAATAGTATTTAAATAGACAGAATCCAAACTGACCACATACCAAAACTTTGTATTACCTTTAAGTAAGCCTGCCTTTAACCATGCTATAATGGAAACGCACTTGTAAGACTTGAGTTTCGGCCTTGTGTTTTGTTTGACTTGAACTTTTTGAAAAGGTGTATTTTTCACAATTATTGAAAAGACCTATAATTGCCCGGTTCACCGATGCGTTTGCTACATGGTCCTAGGAAAAATCGGCATAGAGCACACAAGCGCATCAACTAGCTACATGATGGCGACTTGTAGAAGGCGTCCTTTTGGGAGTGGTCAAATGAGCAGGGTCGAATCTGTTCTTGAGGATGCTCCGAAATTTGTCAATTTCAAGGAAAATTACATTCCGGGGATTAAAGAGATTTTATCAAGTACGGTGCTGTGCACAGGAATGAACTGGTCAGCGAATAGGACACTCTCGAAAACTCTCAAGGATTCTGAAAGAGAAGACAGGTAGGGAACTAATTGAAAGATAATTTCAACTTCTGATCATTCGATAATAATACCGAGGGTTGTTTCACAAAGATCCCAAGTCGAACTTAACTCTAAGTTAGACTTAAATATTATAGAGAGCCATTTGTAGCCTTGAAATAAAATATATTCAAAAGCAAAAATTCAAGTATTTATAACTGTTCATAAATTCAACATCAAGAACATGAAATCTCTTTGATAATAGACAATATGAATGATTTGAATCAACATTTTTTGCCTTTCAAAAATAACTTTTACAAAATATTTTCAATGATGGTAACGGCTTTACATAATTGTTAAGTCCAACTTAGAGATAAGTTCAACTTAGGATTTTTGTGAAACACCCCAAAAGCAATAATATGTATTGTTTACCCAGGGCAGCATCATTAGTAATTAATACTCGTCTCTTTGAGGCCCTGCAAACATTATTACCCAGACCTTGGCATTGCGATTGCATTGTCAGAGGAGAGATCTGGAAGTCTTTCTAATTATGTTCAATGATGCTTGCCAAGTACAATCGTTGTAATCAGGGGCGTAAATCCGTACCGAGGAGTGGGGGGATGATCGGCGATAGCCATCATACTACCCCACACTAATATACGCAAGCGCGCGCGATCGCGCACGCACAAACACACAACATTGCAAGTGTTATACTCAGCAGCTTGTGCATTATTTTTAAAATTTCTATTTACGTAATGTTTCTTTTAATTGTACCTGGACCCCCAGAAGAACAGTGTCATATATTTTTATGACACTGAACGGGCAATCCAGCCAATCATTTTTAAGCAATCTATATACACATGTAATTTTTTTTTTTTTTTAATTCTGTTATGTTTCATTTCGTTTTATGTCATATGTTATTTGTCTTTTTAATATGATTGGAAAATAAATACAATACAACAATACAATACAACACACACGCACACACAAACGCACACACACACACACGCACACACACAAACGAACAAACAACAAACACCATTAGAGAAAGAAGACGATTCGTTGTACCGTTCTCGAAAATAATCTTCGTCTGAATTCATTTCCCCCCCCCCCCCCTCCCGCGCTCAGCGCGGAAGCTTTTACGTTTTATTAAATCATTAGAAAAAGAAGACGATTCGTTGTACCGTTCACGACTTTTAATCCTCATCTGAATTCAGTTTTTCCCTTCCCCGTCCGCGCGAAGCGCGGAAGCTTTTACGTTTCATTAAATCATTAGAGAAAGAAGACGATTCGTTTTACCGTTCTCGACTTTTAATCCTCATCTGAATTCATTCCCCCCCCCCTCCCGCGCAAAGCGCGGAAGCTTTTACGTTTCATTAAATCATTAGAGAAAGAAGACGATTCGTTGTACCGTTCACGACTTTTAATCCTCATCTGAATTCAGTTTTTCCCTTCCCCGTTCGCGCGAAGCGCAGAAGCTTTTACGTTTCATTAAATCATTAGAGAAAGAAGACGATTCGTTTTACCGTTCTCGACTTTTAATCCTCATCTGAATTCAGTTTTTCCCTTCCCCCCCCCCTCCATCCCGCGCGAAGTGCGGGAGCTACTACGTTTTATTAAATCATTAGAGAAAGAAGACGATTCGTTGTACCGTTCTCGACTTTTAATCCTCATCTGAATTCAGTTTTTCCCTTCCCGCCCGCGCGAAGCGCGGAAGCTTTTACGTTTCATTAAATCATTAGAGAAAGAAGACGATTCGTTGCACCATTCTCGACTCTTATTTTTTTTTAAAGGGGGTGGGTTTTTTTTTTCTCTCTCTCTCTCTTTGGACTCCTGAGAAATGTAAAAAGGAGGTTATAAAATATCTTGAATATCATAGAAAAATTGATCAAATCCCGGGATCAAATTCTTGAAATTACTGCTAGCTTTGAAAGCTCACTCAGGATTATTTCATTTTGAAAAGTAAAAGCATTGGCCCCCCAGTCCCCCTCGATTGACTAGAGCTCACCTGAAATGGGGGGGGGGGGTTGTGGTACATTTAGCAGTGTTCCGGATTTCGGGGGGGGGGGGGGTCTCCAAGGCAGGAAAAGCCAGCGAAAAGCCGGCGAAAGGGGGATTCAGAAATGTTGGCAGTCCTGAAATAGGGTGGGGGGGGGGGGGGGTCCTTTCAAGGGGAGGAACGAGAAAACGCGTACCCTAAATAACACTAAGTGGGGGGGGGGGGGGGGGGCGGGCATCTCCTGTACATGATTGCACTTTTTAAGCGCTCGCGCGCTGACGCACTTTACGTCTGGGCTATAATAATACCTTGCAAAATAACGACAAATTATTCTGAAGTTTATGAAGTGCTTGTTCTCGCACGTCGCGCAACTATTCTTAATGATAGTGACATACTGTATACGTGTAGGCTGTACAGTTATACATACATAAAAAAAAAACTAATTTCTCATGCATTATGCTGAAATTGAAACAATCACATTTTTTTTCTTCTTCTTCTTCTTCCTTTTTTCCTCTTTTTTTTTTGGGTAATATCAGGGAGGGATGTTTGTACAGGCCATCCCCCCTACTTCAAGCCAGGGGGGGGGGGATGCAGCCCCCCCCATCCCCCCCCCCGGGATTTACGCCCCTGGTTGTTATATTTTAAATATGTTGATGATCTTACTCTACATGAAGGTCGAATTTTACAGAAACAATCAATTTACAACATGTATTAGATAATTTATTAGAATGGACAGAAATTAATCACATGAAACTAAACCCTAAAACATGTACTGCAATGAGAACTACATTTATGAAAATCCACCTATTCCTGAGACTTTTAGTATTTGGTAACTCACAATTTTCATATGTAAAATCTGTAAACAAATTCTTGGAGTCTACATCCAGCAAAATTTGAAATGGGACACTCACATACTATGAAGTTTTAAAAAAGTGCAATAGAAAACTATACTTGTTTAGAATGGTTAAGCAATATGAATTACCAATTCCTGACTGAATTCAAATATATTTGGATACATTCGTCCTGTTTTAGAGTATTGTACACCTGTTTTTAATGGAGG